ATTCCCTTTTCCAACTCCAAATTTTAGCTATTTTTATCTTGTCCGAAGGGCCCGTTGCAGGGGAGGCAGCTCCCAGCCCCCAGCACGCACCCAAAAACGGATGGACCCTCCTCTGCTAGCCCATGGTGACCCGGGAAGACGGCAAAAGCTGCATCTTTGATGTTTCAACTTTGAACAAGTTGCTTTAATGTAGAATCATTGGAGCATTTCCAACTAGGCATGGAATTATGCTAATTGCCTCTGCGTGCTGCTCTCTCCAGGACGGTCCTTGCACACAGATTAGATGTGGCTCCTTCCTGCCTCTCTTCCTCTCTCTCTGTGGCTGTTGACGGGTCCAGAGCGCCGGCAGCTATGTTGCAGGGAGATGCCCCACCAGCTCATTTTCAGGCTAAGATTCACTGCAGGGGTCTGTGGGAGGGGACCTAAAAGTTCATATATCAGTTGTCAGCCAGCCTGGGCTTGAACTCCTCTGGTGACAAGATGCTCATCACCTGACACCCCTCCTACCCCTCTTACCACCCGACCCCTCGGACCACTGGAGATAGTGTTCCCGATGGCTCATGTTCCGGGATGCTGACCATAAGCCAGGTGCTATGCCAAGCGCTCAACGCTGCATTTAATGCATAGAGCTGCCCGGTGAGCTACTGTCATCGCCATTGCCTGGACAGGGAGCTGAGACTCAGAGCTGGCAGGTGGAGGGGCAAGATGTCTGACTCCGAGGCAGGATGAACCGCCGGGCAATGTCACCTTGTAATTTATTTCACAGTAGCCTTAATGCAGTGTCTCCGTAGCAGGGCACGATTGTCCCCATTGGCACTCTGCAGCGCAAGTTCAGTTTCTCTTCTGATAAAATTCCTTCGGATAGAAGACCCCAGTGGTGTGCCCTCCCCCGCCCCTCCCCCCCAGCCCCCTCTTCCGGAGGATAAACGTACCTGCTTCCTCTCTGGCTCTGATCTCATGCTTCACATCTCCCACCATCCAGGGCCTTCTCCTCTTGCGTTGCCCAGAAAAGAACCTGCCTCTTCATCTATGGCCCAGAGCCGGGTAGGGGGCCAGGGACATGTCCTATTCCTTGTTCTCAAAGTTATGCTTCAAGCCTGAGACCACATCACATTGTGGATACAGAGTGAAGAAACCCACCTGCTTTCCCACAGACCAGGAAACGCTTGGGGGCATTCCCTGCAGGACTAATCAATCACTGCAGCTACATTGAGAAGGTCTGAGTCAGGGGTACCTGGAAAGCTGTCCCCATTCTCCACCCTCGCCTTGACCCCTCCTTCAACACTAAGTATTTAAACTTAAGGAAGACTTGCTTTGGTGCCAACGATCTGCTCATTCCTCATTTCACACGTTTCTTTATTCAATGTTTACTGAGCAGTCAGGTACCTCATAGGTTTTAAGCAGAGCCCTGGGTTTGGGGATATACTGTGAGGATGTCACAGGTCCTGTTCCCCAAGAAGAAGAAGAAATCAGTACTTACAATGAAGTGTGATGAGCACGGACATACAGATGCACCAGGATGATGTGGGATTACAGGAGAGGATTCCAGGGCTGGGGGTCCAGAATCACATCTGACTACCTGAAAAGGCACGAAGGGGTAATGGTGTTCCCAGGGAAGTGGAGGATGTGCTCAGGGGAAAGAGAAATTCATTTAGCCTAAGGGAAACGTCCCACGACCAAGGGAGGTGGGTTAATGTTAATTATATTGGAAGAGTCTTACCAATTTGACTTGTGGACTGCTGCCACAGGTACACACTCTTTTAAATGTTACTCACCCCATTCCGGATCTGTCACTGTTTGTGACCGGTGTGTTCAGATGGCCAGCACGTAACGTGAAGACAGTAAAGGAGACTCATAGCTCTTGGCAGCCTTATTTTCTTGTGAAACTGGCCTTTCTCTTCTCTCCTTCCACCTTAGGGATGTTCTGTTTTTATTGATCTTTTGTAGCATCTGATCTTATCTCACAGCAGATATGGAACATCTCTGTTTCCATAGAGTATGTAAAGGCACTTACTTGTGGGATCCCTGTGGCCTGCTTATCTCATCTCTCAGTTGGCCTGATACCCATCCCTATCACTGTCTGCTTTCCCAGGCTGTAAATAGTCATGTGATTGGTGAATGTTTCTTAGGAGATTCTTGGTTTTGCTGAGTTTACTGCCATTAGCTTTAGCCATTGTTGTTAACTCTTACTCATACTCACCTGTGTGCTCACATGGATGCACTCACACACACACACACACACACACACACACACACACATACACACATACACACAGATCCCGTTTTGATTTATCTTGCTCACAGTCTTGGATCACAGATGAGATAGGCTGATATATTCAAGAAGCCACAGGCAATATTAACCGAGTGTGTGATGAATCTGAAAAGGGGGACCGTGGAGGGGAGACAAAACTGAAAACTCTTTGGTGATCAGACATAAATGGCCCATTTCTCCTCAACTGGATGTCTTGTTAAAATACAAGTTGTCATTGCCTAGGATGGTGATATGGTGAGAACCCCATTAAAAATGCTCTCAGTGCTGCCTGAGAAGTAAAGAGTTTTATCGTCAATTAATTAGACTCAAGAAAGCATGTGAACAAACAGAAAGAAGTACCTAAAGCCTATGAAAATGTTCTGTAACACAAAAAAAATAAAGTCATAAGAGCTTAACAGTGCATCTAAATTATTTCTTGCTTGAAACCCAAGGAAAAATTAGGAACCAGTTATTATCGATTCTCCACGAGACAGAGGGGGACTTTGTCCATCATAAACAGACTGGCACATAACAAGAAAGTGGAATTAAAACTGTTAGAAAGCATTCCTCTTTTATTTGGCTGCACTGAAAAACAAAATTAACACCGAAAAAGACACAGAGATACACTTGAGAAATATTTCCAAAGGACTGCGAGAAAAGATGACTGACGTGGCAATAAAACAAAGAGACAGAATCTATGAATGACAGGAGTTCCCAAAGAAAAAGAAGGAAAAAAGTCTCCAGATGAAAAGAGAATGAAAAGAATCTCCTCTCCCTTGATTTTCACTCTTTCTTTGGTGCTTCCTCAACAGAGCAGACCAAGACTTCTTCCTTCCTGTCAACGGTCAACACACTGGGAGACACAGAGATATTTCCTAAAGAACTGTATCAGCCAGGATAGGATCAACTATGCTGCAGTAACAACTATGCCCTGAACTTCCAGTTGCTTAACAAGCAGAAGTTCTGTCTCACTCCTGGAAAGTCCAGTGAGAGTTGGGTGTCTCTCCAGGGCAGTGCTCTTCCAAGTGGCAACTCAGAAACCCAACTGCTTCCAACTTGTAAAACGTCGGGTACCCAGAGTTCCGTTTTCTCCAGGAAAATCCCATTGTCTCTGCATAATTATTACAGGTCCCTTTTTACTCCCCAAAATGTGCATATGAGGGCATCACGAATACAGTCGTCTCATAGCTACACCGTCTGGAACCGGCTTCCAGGTCCCTGCAGCAGGGAAGAGAGAAACTGGAGACGTGTGTGTCTGTTTGTCCATAAATGCTCTGGCCCAAGCGCGGTGCAGCTTTCACTTACCGCTTATTGGAATCCCAGTGCTCCATCTAATTCTGAGGAGGACAGGATGTGTAGGTGAGCGCCTGGATAGTCCATGAGCGATAAACGTCACTGTGATGGTGACCTTCATGAAAACCAAAATTAAAGGAAATTAGCTGCACAGGTACAAACAGTATCAAAATAAGGAAGTCCCTGAGTGCAGTCGGATACTTTTTAGCTCTTCTGTTCTAAGCACAGAAGAGGACCTGAGCTCTGCCTGGTCCCCTCCACCCCCTGCCCAGGACTACGCCAAACACCGTCTCATGTTTTGACCCAATTGTGTAAGTCACTTGGACATCCTTTATTCTTTTTGGTCAAAACCAAGAGAGAGGCTCCACCTGTTCAGCAGTTCTCATCCAGGACGCTCACTACACCGTGGGTGCTGCGCTGGCCCTATTCTCTTTCCCTGGCATTGGTTTATTTATTTATTTTTCGCCTGGACTTGCCTATGGGGATTACGGATTCAGAGTGAGTGACCCTTTGAGGGCTTGTCAGGGACCAGTAGTCCTATTAAGGGAGAATTGGGGTCCCACGTGTTCCTTTGTGAGTGTGAGAGCTCGAAGAAGAGGGCCAAGGACCAGCCACTGTTGAGACGAAGAGGGAACAAGGTACAAAGTACAAGGTGAATCAGAGCTGCCACAAGAAAGCAGAAAGTGTTAGTCCACCATTCTTAACCTTTGGCAAACTGAGAAAAAAAAAAAAACAATGATCCAGTTGCTATGAAAGGTATAATTAATTCAACTTAATCATATTTAACAGACTTTATTCATCAATTATAGAATGAATGAAAGAGTGCGGAACACGTGTAATTAACAAAGGCATGTATTTTTAGAATTTGAGTCTCTCCCAGAAGAAGAATGCAACTTCTTTTCAACTGTCCATGGATCAGTCATGAAAAGTGATTATAGCCTAGCCTGCATGATTTTTATGTATCTTAAAAAGCAGCAGTTTTACAGATCTTCTACTCTGATCACAATATAATAAAACCAGGCATTGATAATATAGGATTAAATAAAAAGACCCCTGGGAAAGGAAATGTGTGACATTTAAAAATACCTCTAAATTTAGCACTTTGGGCAAAGGAGAACACGAAAAAAAATCCTAACAAGTGACTAAAAAGCAATACAGGTGACAGCAGTGCTTGTCAAACCCAAGGGATGTTGCTCAAAGGTTAACTGACAGCTTTCAACGCAGCCATGACAATTCTGTGCCGTGCTGGGGATGTGGGGATCAGGAATATTCAGTCTCAGTCAAAAATTCCCTTGACCTTTGGGCACACAGCCTGTGAACATGTGTCTCCACCTCTTTATTTTGCTTCATATCCAGTTCACCCAGGGCTTCCCTCTGAGAACTCTCAGATTGTGTCTTAGCAACACCGACTCTCTGTGCCCTCTCTCTTCCCTCATTTAGACCGCGATTTCCACCCCCTGGGATTTCTCAGCAGCCTGCTCCTTCTGAAACAGATGGGGGCCTGCTGTTCCCCCCATGAGAAACATGTCCTGTATCCCTACTGCTGTCGGATTGACATCTGTCCTCGGTGCGTGGGCTCTCAAGGTCCCTTCCAGAGAGGACCCCAGGCCGATGCACTGATTTCAAGATCCAGCTCAAGTGCCAGGTGACCCCCAGGTACAAATAATCATTCAGTCCAGCCCAGCACGGCCCTCCTTTGCTCACAGCTGATGCGATACTATTGTATCCCAGACAAGTTGACTTGTCTCTGTCCCACGAGCTTTTATAAGCTTCTTTCGCATGTCTACTGTTTTCATGAAACTCTCTACCCCTTCTCTTCCTCACGATGTCCCAGCACAAAGCCTTCTGCACAGAAATGCAAGACAGGAGTTTGTTAGATGACAGAGAATCCTTCTCAGGGCCCAGAACAGTCACAGACACTCAGAAAGCATTTACTTGCTTGTTGGCGTTAATACATTAAACTCTTGGGGAAAGGGAGAAGGTGTATATTATCTGGTGCCATGAAGGTGCTAAAGGAATTCAGAGAAGGAGGACGATCGTGGGGTGGATTACCCAGGGTACCCAGGATGCCCTGGTATGGTTGCTGGCTTTGTGAAAGGGAAAACCTTGGAACAATGGCCTGGAATTTCTGGCTGGAGAAGTGTGACCTAAAGCAGAGAGAGAGAGAGAGAGAGAGAGTATGAGTGTGCGGACAGTGGAGGGGTCGCCTTAGCTGGAAGGAATAATCTCCAATGAGAAGTACGGGTGAGTCTGGACGGTCCACGCACCCGCCACCCATCCACAGTTTGGATGCGAGCTGGCCCCATCTCACACATCTCTGAAGCATCGGTGACTGAAGCAGTTGGTGTCATTCAGACCCAAGTAGGTTTCTTTCTTCTTGGAAAGCTTGCTCGGCCGGTATTAACAATGACTGTGAGTTCAGCTGGCACATTCCCGCAACTTTCCCATAGAAGACGTTACTGTTTGCAAAGTTAGACTAAGGGAGTAAAGGAATTTGAGGTCAGACCCTGGGTTTGTGTGAGTGGGAGAAGTGGGGATTTCCCTGAATTGTTTGGATTTTTCCCTTTGTTGATTTCCATCCCGCATCGCCCACACACCCCATCGGAAGTGCTGTGCATATGGAATAGCCCTTTAGACACTTCGGATTAGCCGCTCTACGTGGCGCATAATCACCCTGCCTGCATCTCAACGTGGGCCACTGGCCGTCAGCTCATGCCCTCCGCGCGCTGGGTTAAAATTAGCTGAACCAAAGGGATGTGTGGAGAAGAGATTGTGTTGGGCAGTCCGTTGTGCCGATATTCTGATTAAGCATAAGCTCTTTAGCATACTGTGTCAATGAGATGCGCTTTTGTATTAATAAGCTGTAAATTCTGAATAATTGCTTGATAGCATGAGCATATGACGCTGTGGGTTCCTTGGCAGAATGCTGATCATCCCCTCAGTCGCAGAAGGCACTAGAACCTGTTCCCACCACTGCTTCTCTTTGGAAAGTAAAGGACGTCTTGGCCTGGCATATTGCTGGAAGGCACTTGAGATTTCCTTAGTGATTCTTTTGTTTCCTTTCATCGGAGCTTCTGGTTTGCCAGACATCAGCTGGGCAGAGCGAAGACTTCTGTGTGAGCCACTTCATTCCTGTCTGCCGATTCCCGTGAATGGCAAATAACTGCCTCTCTTGCTGGTCCGAGGATGGAGATTCTGTTTCCTGAGCCGGCAGGGTCCCCAGGTACAAACAGACTCCCCTGGGAGTCAGAACCTGAGGGAGGCAGGTTTGGCCACTCTCTCCTTCGTCTCTAGGCTCCGGCAGGCAGTGGTGATGAGGGGAGGCTCAGCTCTGAATCGAGGCCAGCACCGGTTGTTGGTTCCAATTAAAAAGCAGTTGCATTCCCAGCAGTTCGAGGCTGCAGCCAAAAATACAGCGTGTTCAAAAAAGCATGATCTTTTTTGAGAGGCAGTTGCTCCATAAAGGGCTGGATGCTGCCAGGGAGGGCTAATGAGGGTACATGTGTATGTGATAAAAATTTTAAAGTTCAAAGGAGAAACCAAAAGTAGATGATTTACTTTGGAGTTATTCATAGAGGGCAGTGAGCGTTTTCTGTTGTTGATTTTTTTCCCCTCAGCATTAAACAGTCCATTTATTAGAGGACAAATAGGAATTGACCTTTTGTTCGACAGCAAGGAAATAGCCATCACATTAA